AATATTGTCTTCGATGTATTACGCTATCTTATCACGGTAAAGTTTTACAGAGTATATACTTTTAGAAACCATTAGGATTCGAAAATCCGGTTTGATTTTCATTTAAACTTTGTAGATATATACTATTCAACATTTGTCTAACGATGGATCACCAGGGAATATATCTGTAAGTTTCCGGTTATCCATATGATTCGTTCGACCATTGATTTTTTTCTATTCGACCGTCGCTTGCATGCCCGTTTATACTTTGTTTTTCACCAAGGTGCTCTTTGCTTTTTATAAATTAAATCGAAACGCACGATGCCACGTTACTCGTACATTTTGTTGTGACACCGTTTCTGGCAATGTGATTCTATAAAATGTAAAATGATCACAGTGGACCAGCACCGAAAGAAAATATAAATACAAGAAAATCAATAAAAAAATATGTCAAATTTAAGGAGGAAACGATAATGAAAATACATGTTACAAATCTATGTATACGTGCCTTTCGTACGGCTTAGTTAAAGCTTTAGTAAAAATTATAATTACAATGATTATTTAATCCGTTGTGAATCAAATTTCTTATTTGTTTTCAGAAAAAAAATCCTGAAATATTATCGGGAAGATCTAACTCATGAATATCATTAATTAATTTTGATATTACTAATTCAATTTTGGAAGCATTTTATCGTGAAATAATTTCCTTGCAATGCATCACAAAATATTCTGCCATTAAAAATTTATAGCACAATCACGGTTTACTTTGAAAAACAGTGGTTAGTGAACCCCCTAGATAATTCGCCGATGTAAAACATATACATGCGTATATAATATACTGGTGTCCATAATATTTTCTAGTTATTAACAATAGTGCGTAGATGAATTTAGTGTTGTGTTATGCAAGAGCAGACGCTGGTAGGGAACTGTGCTTAGGTTTCGTTTTATTTAGAAAAACCTTTATGCAACCATTGAAGTCTGCGCTTACGAGAACATGGCCACCACAACCTTTGGTGCGCTGTTCAACCACCGGATCAACGGGAGGAACATCTACGGTTGAACTAGTTAAATTTTTTGCATCTTCCTTATTTTCCCACTGCTCCCTTTCTTCGATTTGTTTAATAATACTATCTGGATTTGGTGCAAATACTGCGCACGTTACAACAGCGTTATGAGCTTTTATACCTTCCCAAAAGTCATTCCGATCTCTACGTACGCTAGAGAATTTGGAATAATCATGATGGGTTTTCCAGATATAAATGCACTGATTTTCCGAACCGCTAACTATGTATTGCCCGTCAGGGCTAAAACTTGCTTTAATTTGGCTACTAACGTTAACATAACCCTTATATTTGCATGACAAATTTAAATCTCGTAAGTCGTATAAACGGATACGGCTATCATTTGAGGTGACTAATATTTTGTCTTCGCCAGGCATAGGCTCGATACCACTGATCTTCCGTCCCGTCGAATTTTTGCCTCTCGTCGATCGGACATGTATCTGCGTGTGATATTTCAACTGATCCGTGTTGTAAAATATACATCGGCCATCGTATGAACCCACCACCGCGAATTTTCCATTCTGACAAAAGTTTGCGGCAGTAATTAATTTCGTTTGGCCTTCAACCTCATTCCACACAGCGACCTTCTTATCCGGAATATTCCATAGTCGAAGTTTACCGTCCAAAGATCCTGACAAAAAGTATCGATCATCGCGTGGATGAAATACTATTGCTGTGACGAAATCAATATGCTGGAAACAACATAAACATTCTTTCCGCGATATATGCCATAACCGCACAGTCTTATCCATCGATGAGGACAAAACGAAATAATTTTTAGACCAGGATACGTCGAGCAAGTCTGAGGTATGGCCGGTATAAGTGCAAAATGGTTTCGGCATGAAAGGGCTTTTCGTCCCTTCTATTTCACTGAAGGCACTAGCCACAACATTAGGGTCTTCCATAGATTGTTGCGAGACCAAAGATTCTTGTGAAGGTGTAGGACTAACTTTCTCCGCATTGTATTTAGTTCGCGTATCCTGAAAATATGCAAAGGCATCGCGCAAAACCCAAATTCTTAAAACCCGATCTTGTCCCGCTGTAGCAAGTAATCGTCCACAAGCAGAAAATTTCATACACCAAACAGGACCTACATGTTCGCCACTTAAATCTTGAACATGCTGTAAACAACTGAATTCATAGGGTCCTTTATGACTATTAGATGCTTTTAGTTTAATGTATTGTTGTTCACCGGGATAAACTTCGTCTACTATATCCATAACGTCTTCTTTATGCCTTGCATGAGATACTTCTTGTGCGATAGATTTTGCTTTGTCCATCGTTTTTTTTACAGTAGATCCTAAAAATCGTTTCAACTTCTGAGTCTTCTTTCGAACTCTGCCAACAGATACATCTTCATCCGGTGGTATACTGGACATTTTACTATCAACACTTTCTTCGTCACTTTCTTTCTCCTTCTCGAGACTAGAATTACTTATATATTCTGAAGTGAGTCTCATAATATGAAGCGATAAAGGATTAATACACTGTGGTAATTTATCTTCCGCTATACTTAATGGCACTCTTTCACCAGTGTCTAAATTTAATACAGTTACTTGTTCTAAAATTTCCTGAAATAAAATGAACGCTTCGTTTCATTAATATAATAAACATTAAAAAGCAATACGATTAATCAAATTTTTATTGCATATCATACCATGTCTGTTAAGCGTTTACCAGAATCTGTTCTTGTTCTTACAAACATATTTAACTGTTTGACCATATCTTGATCACCCGCAGATTTTCGTCTTTCTTTAGAACCTGGAGAACTTATTCCAGTAAATTTATGAGGACCTAAAGAGTAACGGCCAATACTGTTACTAGACATGGATCCCAATGGACTGCTTGATTTATCGCTTGATCTCACACTCATTAATTCAGCTTTCACTCTTTCTATTCTTTCCAATTCTTCAGCTGAAGGTCCTTCTGCTTTTGATTTGTCTTCATCCTATAAATAAATAATAATATTACATACCAATGTCATAAATTACATTTGAAAGTAGATTCATATAAATGCATTGTAATACAAACTTGTGGTTTAACAACATACTGTCCTTTAGTAGCAGATCTAATATCAAGTGAGTGTTCAAATTCTCTAGTGATAGACTCAATGGTACTTGCTGGACTTGGTAATGGTGAGGTAGGCAGCACTGATTCTGTTGTAGAAGGCTAAAATTACAAATTCGTGTTTATTTATTATGTACATTGTGACCTTTTCACAGATTTAAAAAAAAATACTTTTTATATTCTAAAGTAATTATACTGATTAGGAAGTATCGTACAGCAAGGTCAGTAGGTGTCTGAGCCTTTGTCTTTTTTTTACGTCTAGGTGGTGCAACAGGTATTCCAACCACAGTAACGTCTTCACTTGACTTTCCATTATTCTTTGTACTAGCGATGACATCAGGTTCTTGAAGCATAACAGTCTTATCATTTTGTGAGTGAGAAGAATAGTTTGACCTACTGTTAACAGAGGATTCCTGTAGGAGATCCCCTGATAACGTAAGGATGCTGGAGGACTGGGACACCTTACCAGACACTGTGTCCTCGTCTTTGCTTGGAATACTAGCAATGGAGGACATCTGGCTTTCACGGGTAAGGATGGCAGAAGGGGGACACTGAGTTACATTTGTTATGAGTACAGCCGAAGCACTGTCCCCAACTCCAGCTAAAATTCGACCCACCCGTCCTAAAGAGGTCATGCTTTGTAGGCTAAGAGTGTCATGTTCAATAATTCTAAACGGATGAGTTGTTTTCGAAGGAACAGGAAAAACACCCTCAATGGATGATGTTTGACTGTCTGGAGGAGAACTATTAATTGGGATATCGTCATCTTCTGTTTGCATACGTTGTCGAAGTTCATGAAATCTCCTTCGACCTATAATTTTATCCGTACTCGATTCCTTTCCATCCTCCTCCTAAATGAATATATATTTTTAATTAAAACTGATATTAATAACATTATATAACATTAATAACTTTATTGATAAAATAAATACTTACAGATTTATCTTTACAAGGTACACATTCTATAGTTACATTATCCTTTGGTTCTATAATTGGTTTTGGTTCAGCAGGTTTTACAAAAACATCATCATCCGTTTGTTTAGAAATATCTGATGTATCCTTGGATTGTATTTCAATACTAAAGGAATCACGTTGTTTACTTCTCCTACAAAAATCAAATACTTTATTATTAAAAAAAATCATAATTATTATAACATAAATAAAATTTCATATTTTTTTATGAAATGATCGAATTTATTAATTAGTACATATACTGTCATACTTGAACTAAATGATGTAAAAGAATACTTAATATTTTTATTGCAATATTATGAAATTAATCGTCAAAAAAATATTTTAGAAATGTGGAAATGTAGTATCGACAATTAGAGCTCTACGAAAGTCATAAACGCCGGCCCTGAAGTAACTACATACAATCATATAAACGATTACACGAAAGTACTAAATTTCAGACCTAACCAAAAATAATTAAGTAGGAACATGATACAACAAGAAAAGGTAGATACGAAGGAACAATGTAGGATGAAGAGCAATCTTTGGAGGCTGGAAGAAGATCAGATGAAACATGACATTGACCAAATGAAAAACGCAAAAGAAATGTTCATAATAGCTATTATTCCACGATCAAATGAGTTCAAATTGTTACGAAAGGTAGATAGTAACAATTTATAACACACATGTATTGTAAATAAAATATTACTTAAGATTTCGAAATGAATCACATGACAAGCGAAGATTAGTAAAATTACCGTGAATTACGTTGGAAAGTATCATCCTCTGCGTCAAAAAATTCTTCGGAATCGCTGCTTCCAGACATTGTCGTCTGCACTGAATGATCAGTAATAATAATATTGTCCGCATCGGTACTGTCAAGGCGCGTCACGCGTTTCGCAAAATCGCGAACACTAAGGCTAGATAAAAGCGGCTATAGGATTGCAAGCGGCACGAAGTCATGATTTGACTTCTAATAGCGGTTACACAAATGCACTGCCCCGTGCTGAATATGCTGGGTACGTATTTCAATTATCCTAGTTCTTTCAAACGTAAATTAACGATGCAAAAGTGGTAACACTGCACGAGCCCATCCAATAAAGAGGTCGCATCATGGAAAAGAGTTGTGCGATTGGTGAACAACGAATTTGCAGCCTCGAACTCGTGCAGCTGCCCGCTCGCCAGCATGCCTACTGCAAAGGAGGCGAGCCGTCACACAAAAGCAAGATGGAGGATCTCACAGTCGAAGTATGCGGCGAAAACGGAGCATATTATAAGGTTCGTTCTGTGAAAAGTATACAAAAAACGGGGCGGAAGATTGAGGTCGTAGATAGAACAACTCACGGCCCATGGCGCGGTTATAATCTCACAAAAGAGATGCCTGTACTTCGCGAAAGCGCGGCCCTCAAATGTTCGCGAGGTAACGCGGCTTCCTCCGACGCCATGTCTCGTTTGACAGGGCGTGATTTTCGTCAGCTTTTAATGTTGCGTTTCGCCTCGATATCTCCCCGATTCACGGAAACGCATTCTTTTTATGTCGAAATTGTAGAAACGCTACTCCTGCGGGTATCCCGAATGCGTTGCAATATTATGCCCGATTGTCTTATGCCACTCGCTACACATCTAATTTGTGGATGAGTATCTTTACATGCTTTATGTTTCATTTTTTTAGGCCTTTGTCACCGATGTCTTTGAAGACGAGGTTCTGGTACAATTTGAAAATGAGTAAGTTATTTCCATTATTTTCCAACAACAGCTTGAATATCAGTATTCGATGGTTTACAATGATTACAAACTATGTTAATACAAACAGTATAGATTTTTGAGCATGGGAATTCTGAATTCTTATCAATCACACTTTTTGTATTTGCTTGAACAATATTAAAGGTCCAGCAATTTTCATGAGTATTAGTTGTTTCTATACTTACACAATTTTCCAATTTTATTTGAATATATTACCTCAGTTTTAAACATTGAAAGATATTATAACGTTTGTGAGCGTTGATAAGAATTATTGAGATTTAATATAATATTTTACAGAATTCTTATTTTTGATATTTATTTTATATACAAAAGAGCAAATTTATTTTGCGGTTCAATAATATGAAATAACAAAATTCTATGATTGAAAGGAATATTAGATTTATTTATGTTAGATAATAAATTTGCTAATGTAAAATAATTATTATATGTTGTAGACTTTTGTAAAATAATATTATAAGCGTAAGAATATATTTATTGCAGAAAATTATTGTTTTATCTTATATAATTAGATGAATTTATTAAAATTCATTATAATTCAATGTTCATGTAAAATGTATTGCAACATTGTGTAACGTACTTATATTTCATTTTTAGTTGGCAACCAGAATCAAAATTTCCATTTGCTCAAGTACGTCTACCTCCAAAAGATGGTCCCAAAGCTGAATTTGTGGAAAATCAGGAAATCGAAGTATTTTCTAGGTCCAATGAACATGAACATTGTGGATGGTGGAAGGCACTCATTAAGGTTAGAAACCATTCATTTTGTGTCTTACACATTATATGAGTTACTCATTGGACAACTTGATTAACTCAACAAAACAAAATGTAGAGAAATATCATGCAATTGTTATATATTAATTTCGAAAATTTTCCTTTAAATGCAAAATCAAATAATCATTATAGAATGTATATTACTTTATTATTATAGGTACAGCTTTAATCTAATAAATATGTAAAATACACAAATTAGTATATCCTTAGAGTAATTTTTATAATTTTTGCAATTCTTGTGTCCAAAAATCTTTTTATTATTTCGTGGTATTAAACCTAGTCACAATGAAATTTACTTTAAGTATAAAACGTTAAGAGCCAATGAAGCGCTTCATTGATAAAATCTGGAAAAATTCAAAAAGTGGAAATAATCGATTTGACCAATGAACAGCTTATATATAGGAAAAATGTAACCTAATATATTTTAAACTTTCACATTTATATTTATATTTATTTTTCTACATATATTGCATCAAGGTATATTCAGATGGTATAATTGCTCACATATTAAACCTTTTTTGATCTTAAGTAACTTGATTACGTACCTTCTATTAGCGATGATTTTTAAATGGAACATTTATTTACATATTTAACAGACATGATTATCTTCTGTAAGAACAGATTAAATATGAACAAAATTTATAATGTGATTCGCAATCATTTTAACATTGGTGCATCAAAATTCATTAGATTTAATTTTATATTCAAATGGGCGATTTGCATGTGTACCTGAACTTGATGTTCACCTCAATAGGAACCAAACTTTGTTGGAAATATCCTATCTTGAGATCGAAAAGGGTTAAAATATTACATAAATGATCGTTCCAAATGTATATTGATATATTTATGAAAAGAACTTATATTTCAAATGTTATAAGCTTTTTTCATTTATAAACTTTATTCATACATTAACATCAATGTTTCAGATGAGCAAAGGAGGTTTTCAAGTAGTCGAATATTCAGGATGGGAATGTGCTTATACCGAAATTGTAGCTAGTGAGCGACTGAGGGCCAAAAATCCTAATCCCCCTATTGATAAAAATACATTTCACAAGATCGAAATCGAAGTACCTGAAGATCTACGAGAATTGTACGTAATATCTTGTATTTTACTTAATGATCTAAGACTATTAGGCAAATATACATTATATTTTAAATATATGTTTTAATGTGTACAGTGCCAAAGTGGAAAATGTACATAAGGAATTTCAAAAAGCGATAGGTGCGGCAGTGTGCCGATATGTGCCTGAACGAGGAGTATTGCTGGCCATCTCCCGTAATGAAAATTTACATCGTCTTAGTAGCGTGCTCCAAGAAATGCACTTTAGAAGCTTATCGCAAAAGGTAAATGATAATATTAATTTCAATTTCTTTTTTTTATTTTAATTAATTTACACATAATTTAATAATATAATGTCATCAAAACTGGTATATTGACTATGAGAGGACAATACTTAGAGTCGTCCTATACATAGGTAAACTATAGAAATTTTTTTGTTAAATGACTATTAAATTAACGTACTATCAAATGAAAACTTCTGATTTTTTCTGGGTGCATAACTGTAATCTTCTACTTTATATTTATACTTTTTCTAAGCCAAAATGTTACAAAATGGCGCAGTTATTCACTAGTTTCGGAACCTCTTTTCGTAAAACATCCACTGTTGACGGACTCAATTGTAAACAACTGAAATATTCGAAGACAAAAATTTGTGTGGATTTATAAATAGAAATATATTATTTAACATATAGCATACAGATTTTTTCGATATCTCAATTATTTAATTTTTTATAAACATTTGAAACAAATTTTTTGGGGGTACAAACAGGTTTTTGCACGTCAAATGCTTGCCATTTCTATAATAATATCTATTTATAAATTCACACATACTTTTGTCTTCGAATGTTTCAGTTGTTTGCAATCAAGTCCGCCAACAATGGATGCTTTACAAAAAGGGGTTTCGAAGCTAGTAAATAACTGTGCCATTTTGTAACATGTTGGCTTAGAAAAAATATAAATATAAAGCAGAAGATCACAGTTATACACCCAGAAGAAATCAGAAGTTTTCACTTAATAGTTATTAACAAAAAAATTTCTAAAATTTATCTATGTTTAGGACGCCTATAGGTGGAGATCTCCCCTTAAAGCAAAAGTAAATTATGTAAAAACGTTCATGTATTTCTATCTTCGTAACTACATAAAAGTTTATTTGCATGTTACAGGTATTACTTTTAAAAAGAACAGAAGAAGCAGTACGTCAACTTGAGTCAACTAAACTTCAAACGATCGGGGGGTAAGTAACAATTTGTTTTGGCGTTGCGATTAACATAAAATCTTATGACATTTAATACCTGCCCCTATCCATACACTGTCCTGGTTACCATCCTGTCTGTGGTTTGCATTTGCTGACAGGAAAGATTCACTATATTTCCAATCATTAATTAATATGTTTGCTTCAACATTATATAATTTTTATGAATGTTATTATGTAATCACACTAAAAACGTTCCTGTACGTTTCATTTTCGTTTCCACATGTTACATTTGTGATTGTATATAAAATCTTCTAAGGAATTTAACAATACATTTTCAAGGTCCATACATAATTTTATGTGTCAATTGCCATTTTATTTCTCATACTTCTGCCAATCACAAGAGCACGACGTGCATATTGTAATAAATCAGCACACGATGTACTTTATCTATCTTTTAGCAAATGTCACTCTCTGTTGACATACTGTTTTATTTATTTTGAAATACTGTTGTATATGTAGGGTAATGCTATGTTTTTTTCATTATTTGCTGATTACAATTATCAGCTATATAGAATAGGATTAGATCAATTTTATTTAATGTATTTCGTAATACACTCTCATATTAAATGTTTTAAATATATTTACTGCTACTTGATGCTTCTCTATTTTGAATTATCACATTAATAAGTAAATAAACAAATGTACGTATAGATATCATACTCTTGAAGAATTCAGAAGCTTTGTACCAGTACCATTTAGAGAAATAAACACTGTCATTAAATTAATGTCCTATTATAAGCGTTACTGTTATAATTAATATCGTTATAAATGTTGAAAATCTAAAATTTCTTGAATAGTTCAATCAGGTTATACAAAGAAAAGATAAAACATGCATGCATTTTCGACTTTTCCGTGTATTTATATGTACTGGGACAATATTAAATTATTATCATAAAACATATTCATTATTTTCATTTATGCAAATATGAAATTACTATGCAAGATTTTTGTATATTAATAATCATATAAAAATTTACAAAAGTCTCTGTAGTTTTAGATGCTTCACATATTTCCAGCAAGTAAACAACACTCTATGTTCGAGCAACTAATACATATAATTAGGGCTATTGCTTGCACTTAAACTTTGTTTATATGTTATATTATCAACACTACAATTGTTTTTAATTAGATATTTTTAGATTGAGATACTCACCAAAACATTCAAACAACGGTTTGTATGATTTCTTTAAACTAATTAAATAATAACTAATAAATGTTAGTGATTTAGTGGAAATTGAGAATAAATTTGACAATACTAACTCTACATATTTATTTATTTTAATAGCGGTTTAGTTCTAAATAAATATTCGGTGTAATTAATTAACAGGTAATAATTTATATAATGTTATGTTTTATTTTTAAATAATTAATATAAAACTATTAATTTAATTTATTAATAATAAAATATATATTCAAATAAAATACAGCGATATTTCGAAAATGTTGTATCATCGTACTAATATTATTAACAGAACCATAGCTCCTTCTGGATAGGAATGTGAAATTTTCACTAATTATGTATTTTAATTAATAATAATGAAAGTGGATTTGGAATGAAATTTCATAAATTTATTTATGAGGAGCAAACAGACAGAATGGCAGGGACACAGGATAGGGCCATTTTACACATGACTTTCCACTGAGTTACACCAGAGTTTGTTTCTCATTTCAGCAAATTTAGATCTTCAAACTTTATATATCAGCGTGTCTCAGACTTTGAGGCAGGAGTGAAAACAAATTCAAGGTGAGATCACAGCAGCGTGGTTTAGACTTAAGTTAACTTTAGCTTATTGTATGACAAATACACGGCTGCATTTTTCAAATGAAAAATGAAATTACACTATAAATGTGCATGCTTCGGCGTTGTGTAGATTATTCACTGAGACCCAAATGCTTTAAATACACAGACATATCAAATTTATTATTTATTCTTTTCTATTTATTAATTGTTTTGTAGTAAAATCTTTTTCGTAAATGATAAAATAGTGAATAAATATAAATAGGTT